ATAGTGTGGTGTTAAGTTTCTGTGGTCCACGGTTCAGAACCAAGAAGAAAGATAAATCGTACTAGTACGACGCGAGTGCACGGACGGTCAGAGTGTGGCAAATAAAACGCCAGAAAGTGACTTTGGTGAACCGTTGGACCTTTTGTTAAGACCGTCCAAGAACTTTCGTTAGAAATCCCACTCGACTAAAGTTAGACACTCGCGGTTAAAGTGCGCGCGCACAAAAGTGTACCACTCCCCGGACAAAGCGAAGTGAAACGCTGGCCTCCGTTACATAAAGGCCACCTGCCGCCGCATCTGGATTCCCCCCGTCGTCTGGAAGCCCTATACAGCTGCGTACGTTTGTTGGCAGCTCGCCGACGCCGCCACGTGGGCCATTCCCGCCATCTCATCAATGTCGACCACCGATTCATCACGGCCGCAACGAGGAGCAAGTGAATTTCCAGAGTGAATAAATGCGCAAGTAAAATGAACCCCTTTTAGCTTATTTTCACCATTCTACAAAATCTCACACTCTTATAGAAAATCCCTCAAAATAAAATAAATGTCAGGTCGAACTAAATTAAGCTGTTAATTATTAATTTGTTTGAAAATTCACTATGTTCTCTGCTTATTTTCCACTTTGATATATTATCCACTTTGAAATTAAAATATAATCCCTAATAGAACATAACCCAGTAATCGAAGATTAGCACAAAAGGTGCAAAAAAACGTTGAAATTTTTCTAGGTTACCAATTATTAAAACGACCCTAACAATTCTCACAAAAGAGGCCATTGTAAGGCCCACCCCGGACGGTTGCCGTGGCTTGACCAGCAGCTAGGGGCGTAGACACGGGTCCTTCTGACCCTTGTGAATGAGAAGTAGTTTCAACATGTAGTTCAAATGGAACGGTTGCCGAAGAAAAACTGGTTGCCGACAATACTCGCTCTCACTAGAGAAGATTGGAGCTTTGTAAAAGCGTTTCAAAACAGTTTTTGACAATTCTTTCGACTGAAATTGTTAGAGCAGCTGGCAGCAAAATATTGTAAACAAACCAATACTGCATATGAGTGCGTTCCATAGAGAAAAAGGCTATAGAAAGAAGGTCGCTGCTTAGGTTGCCGAGAATACGTAAATTCCCCTATGTCATTAAGAGAGGGGAAAAAAACCGATGAATGTAGTTTTTTCAAGGATAGTCTGACAATACCTACTTATTGATGCGTTTGGTGTTTTACTCTTTTTGTAAAATAAAAGTAGCAATGCCGACATAGGATAAACTAAAAAAAACTAAGCTCTAAATGTATTTTTAATTTACCCTTCCTCTTATACCTCGCCATGTACAAACTGAGTTAAAGAAAAAATTCAAAACTTTCAAACCTTTTTTAAACCCGCTGATATTAATTCAATTGCAAGCCAGTCGTGGGTATGTGTTTACAATGTAACTCCCACTGTCTGACAGTGGCATTTTGTATAAAATCTGTCTGTAATCATGTCTTATGAATGTAAGAAGCTTAAACCCGGGAGTTAGAAGGTGATAACTCTACCGTAAGTCCAATAGCCCATTTCAAGAACGCAAGCATTCCGAAGCTATTTTCACACACGATAAGCCCCACTTCAATACATTATCGATGCGAATATACACCATTGATAACGTACTAAAATTGTCAATCAAGCAGTAGTGCAATACTTGATTGACACTGCGGTCATGTTTCTCCCCAAAGTCGCCAATGGGTAGAGGAATATCACCATGGCAAAACTGATAGGTAACAACGTAGGGACAGTTAGACCTAAAATATGAATAACATAAGTTAGTGTAGTGGAACACGTCGCTTTTTAAACAGACTTTCTCGATTAATAAGTAAGTTGTTAACTGGCGCAGCCGTGCCGTATACGGTCAAGTGACTACTGTGTTACCTGACTTATAACGAATATACGTTGTATACGAGTACTTCGAATTCAACGTATGACTCGTCTAATTTTGCATGGCATTTGCAATGTAAAATCAGACGAACTATACGTTTTTTTATATATCTTTATTAAGGAGACTTTCAGCCCTGGGCTGGTTCGTCTCCGGATACTATCTATACGTTGTGTTCGGGGTACTCGTATACAACGTATATTCGTTATAAGACAGGTAACACAGTAGTGTAAAAGTTTCTCAAGCTGTGACCACCGCTAAGGGAAGATTAGCGGCTAGTGTGTAGTGATTTTTCTCGACTTAATCGGAAACAGCATTGTTCGCGCCCGTTGCGAACGTTTTCTAAAAAATCGCTATTGTTTTCTCGAGTCCTTCATGTTTTTGTTGCCATAACCGTTTAACTCCAGATGCCCGGAATATGGGTGAAATTACTGTGTTTCCTGGTCCTTCTGTATAATGTATGTTTGTAGCATCACTACTACTAACCCAGAGTCAACCGCGGGTAAACGGTTTGCAAAATCGCTTCTTTGATTTGCCTTCCCATCGCACGCACTGTTGGGGTGTTTACATCTATGCGGATTTGCGCTAGCGCTAGTGTACCTGTAAACATTATGCTAGTGCGCTAGTGAAATAGCATAAGTGTAAACACCCCAATATGAAGGAGAAGCCTCGTCAGCATACAGCATAACACAATAGATGAAGAAAACCACACATATAAATATAGGTGCTCCTATTCATGCAAAGCGTTCATTCAGTTTACAGATGTTTCGGTATTTTCTCGCTTTATTGCTGAACACTGTAAATGAAATGACCGAATTTCGGTAATTTCATTTTAATTTAACGAGAACGGTAAACATTTTTACCGGCAGGTCTGTAAATAAGCTTCATCACTGACTTCGGTGAAATATTTTACCGAAGTTTCGGTAAACAAAGCGTTCCATTACTCAGTTCGGTAAACGTCAAATCCACTATATTGTGATTTTCGATCGACTTTAAAAACGTTCGTGCTTGTCAAAAATAAAAAGGTGAAATTATGGAGACTGTTATGCAACACCAAGATGAGCGAATCGTAGATATTTTCGTTATGTAAATAAATACAATTTGCAACACTAACACATTGATCACGACTGCAGCCAAATTTTTGCATGGGTTGCAGTGACCGCCACCTTGAAACAATATTAAAGCAAATCACAGTTGAGTCGGTTACCTTTTTAAAAAATTGCAGATCTCTCGGTGACTTTTGATTTGCATATCGTCCTCATAATTACAGTTCTCTGGTAAAGTCGACTACAAATCAAGCAATGCACATCGGTAAACGTTACCGATCGTTCGAAATTTAACAGCTAATTTTGCTGATCCAGTTTACAGATTTTTCGGTAATGTTCTCGATTACCGAAAACATTACCGAACGTTCAGCTGTTGAGAATTCGGTAAATGAATTACCGAAATCGGTGATTTTTTCTAAGTGTGTACCTTGCAATATTTGCAATATGAAACGGGCAGGAGGATGATCAATACGCCATTGAAGAAACTCCTCCTCCACCCCACTTTCCTCCCGAAAAAGAGATTGGGTAGGTGTACCAGTAATGGCTACACGTTCCTATTATGGTGTGTTCCAATTGTGGCCTATTGGAATTCCATAGGCCATAATTTGAACACACCATAATAGGAACGTATAACCATAACTGGAACACCTACCCTAGTGCATCATGACATATTTTTTTTCTACGGAATCCGGAGACGTAGTTAACAATTTTTTGCCATTTATTGATAGAGACACCATTGACTAGGGAAGATTCGTCTTCTGGTAGACACTGGTGCCAAAAATAAATTTACACCAAGGATACCGAAAACAATTTTTGAACCATCATGTTAAAAACATTAATGATTCCTTTGAAATGGACGAATACATTGAATGTAACGCATTCTAAACTCTCCTAGAGGGACAAGTTCTCCCCAAACAAATGTTTTTCATATTCAAATTCCACGAATTCTTTGACGGATCGATAGGATACGAAACTCTACATAACCTTAGCGCCGTCATTAACACTGCAATAAACTCCCGTTTTATCAACAATACAGGAACAACATGTATCAAGACAACATTGACTAAACAAGACATACGTACATTTTCCATAGATCTCGACAGCATACCTTTTGAAATATGTAGCAAATTGAGCGCCCTCAGTTTGCAAAATGGTTAGGGCTAAATCACCTCAACCAAGAGGAAAGATCCGGACTGATAAAAGTACTCGCAATGCACGAGAACTCATTTTATCGAGAAGGAACTGATTTGACCTTTATGAGGGTCATTAAGCATCGGATAAAAACCACCTCTGAACTTCCCTGTTACACGGAAATCGATAGCCACAAGAAAGAGGTGCAAAAGTAGATATCGAAGACCTAGTACATCCCCATGGGTATTTCTGATGTGGATCGTTCCCAAAAAGGAAGACGCATCAGGTCTTAGTAAGTGGGGTTTGGTCGTGGATTACATAAAGCTTAACCAAAAAACGATTGATGATCGGTACCCAATACCGAACATCACCGAAATATTAGACAAACTTGGCCGGTGCCAACATTTCACTACGCTGGATCTTGCCTCTAGTTTCCACCAGATGGAGGTTAATCCCGACAATGTCCAAAAAGGTTTTTTTTTTCAGTGAACCATAGACTACGAATTTTTGAGGATGCCATTTGCCGCTTACAACCAGAGATTTTTTCGCCTCAGAAAAATCCCAACGACCTCAGCTGGGATAGAACTCAGACACGCTAACCCCTCAACTATCGGCGCCGTCAACGCTATTATTAATTGTATGGAAACACCAAAATTCGCTTCTGGTGGAGCAAAAATAAAGCGTTCCTCTGTTATGCCTGTGTTATCTTTAGAATGGTTTAACACACTAAAAAAACTACGTAAATGATTAGTTTTTTCCAGCGCCATATTGGAGTTTGTGATGAAATTTTCTTATTTTTGCAAATTGCATTTGATTTTGCTGTGTGTTGTCAAAATAGGATCTAGTTGAAAATTTACGAATATATCGTACTCTGCTCGGCTTTTACTACTTTTATTTTGAACAAAAGTCGACTTTTTATCACCATTACATTTAAAACTATGTTTTTTTTATTTATCAATTTGCAATGCTTACCTATATTGACCATTTAAAATTTCCTAGAAACTTAAATGCCTTTAATTTGCATGTTATGGGAAAATTAATCAAATAATTGCATTTATCAAACAAAATACAACGATCATCGATATTCAGTTCAACGGTTCTTATTTATCATGCATATTTTAGCTCGCGAACAGACATGTTGCCCCTCGTATATTTCCGTAAAGCAAATGAATTCTATTGAAACGCTACCCTCTCAAAAACGACATGAAAATATTCCTACTCTTGGCTTTTAGCATTTCATAAAAATGTTATCTGTAGAATACGTCACTGTTATTGTATGCTGTTGTATTTACCTCTGTCAAATATTACCCTGAACACATATAATATCGATAATCTGTCTAGAAGAAATATATGTATATATTTTCTATTTTGGTTTCCATTCAATTCCGTGTACTGTATATGATTTCATACTTTGTTCTAACCTTCACCTTGTTCAATCGGACAAACCAACTTAATAATTGTTAAGCAATCCGCTCTAAGTATTGCAAAGTTCAATGAGCGAACATTGAATACAATTTGATTTCTAATGGCGTCGGAAATTACAATGAGAAATATTTGAGGAATTGGGCCGGTGGTACCGGTTGGGTTTCGGTATTATCATCGTTACCTGCCTCCCGGATGCGCTGTCGTATATCCGGACATTGATCCACGATGCAGGGATGTCCAGCTGAAGGCCAAAACAGGCAACGGCAAAGGCGACAGAAAGCTAAAATTTCGGCGTATTGTAGTTCCTCAGGTACACCGTATGTTCTAAAACAATAGCAAAAATTTAGCACAAATCTATAGGCAAGAATTCGAAAACTTACTTTCGAAGAGCATGATAGATTGCCTGCCAATTGCGGTGGCGTTCTTTTGTGTCCTGGAGGCACATTTTGTCTAGGATGAAGTCGATTTGCTGCTTGTTAAAGTGGTAATGAGACAGTTCTCGCCATACTCGTTGCTCCGAAATCAACGCTGCCATCAGTGACCAAGCCGATGCGGAAGCATCTAAATCCTTGTAATCGGTTATCCTTAATATAATTTCTCGAACACATTCCTCTGGCAGATCGTGTAGCTTTGGGCGTATATTTGGACCAGGCTGAAAATAGATAATAATTTAGAGACAAGCCACAATACACAAGATCTAAAAAAACAATCAACCTCCTTAATTTGTATTTGACTAGCAATGTTCTGAATCCTTTGTATGGTTTGCACGTGTCCCTCCCACAGACTTTGACTACCGAGTGGCTTTCCCCAGCATTTTTGATTCTCCTGATTGACTAGTAGTCGCAGCTGTTGCACTAGACCCCTTAGGACGTTGATGTTCTGCTGCGAGTCGCTGACGTACGTTGCCACTTCCTCCAGCATCTGAAGCAATAGTCGTTGTGCTCCACCAGGAAGACTTGTGATGCCTTTACCAGAAACAAGTAGCCGCAAAAGAGCGCATACGTAATTGAATCGACGGCCATCTCGGACTGAGCTGCGGAAATCCAACCGGCGAACTGCCTCTCCCAGTCCATTGAAACCGGCAATCTCGCGGGTACATTTTAGTGTTATATGACAGTGAGGGGGGATTTCATTGTCTCTGTATTAAGAAAAAAGGTTTTTACTTTTGAACTGATTTACAAAATTTGAAAAAAATAATACCCGCTTTCATTATCATTTTCCGTATCACTAGAGCTACTGCATTCAGATATGCACCTATTGTAAAAGATAACAAAAAATACAGAGAAAATGTTTAGTAAAAGGCTTTCGATTCGTTGTTTGCTTCTATGATACAATAGACTGATGCAAAATTTGAAATTTTTGCTCCACAGTGCTCAAACGGTTCCAAATTGGGCCCTGATTAGGCTTTTAAAATTTGAACACATTTAGTGAGAAACTGACTTGGCACAAACCATTTGAAGTTTATATGGGAATTACTATGGAGAAACCATAATTTCGGTTCATATCTATCTCAAAATTCACCAGTTCACTCTACTTTAGAAACTGATAGCTGAGCTTGTTGAAAATTTTCTCAGCTACAACAATTTTTCGATCAAATGTAAGGAACAAAAGTTATTAATGATTCAAGTCACTGATGTCTTATGATTATGCTCAATCAACTGTTCAGCAGGCATCATTGGTGTTTATGGTGCGTAGAATAGAGGACAAAAACCATGGCTACTATGTCACACTGAAGAATACAGTGTTGCCCACAATACAGTTGCTTTATCTTGCCATAAGATTATCAATCTCTTAAACAATTAATAACTATTTAATTTGACGTTTGGCTGAAAAAAGATTTTCTGCAAAGTTGTATCTGATAAAAATTCCCATAAGAATAGCAATAGAATTTGTTAACAGTACAATATGTAAAAAGGCTAGAAGACAATGAACAAAAAGTTTTGTTTTCCCATAGTATTTTCCATATAAACTTAAAATGGTTTGTGCCAAGTCAGTTTCTTATCAAATGAGTTTAAACTTTCGGAGGCTAATCAGGGCCCGATTTGAAACCGTTTGAACACTGTGGAGCGAAAATTTCAAATTTTGCACCAGTCTAATGATACATATATTATTAATGAATACATACTTTATTTACAATTTCATGCTTCGTCAAATTTAATGTAGGATAATTATTATTTAAGCAATATGTTGAGTACTAAGCAATACACACATAAAAAACCAAAATAATATACAGGATTTATACATTTAGGGGAACTGGTAATAAAATGGTAAAATCTCTGATCACGCATTCCTTCAGAAGGGAAGTAAAGCCGTTGGTCCACGGTCCATGAGTTGATGGATCGAATAGGCAGGGTCCAGGTGTGGAAGCTGTCATCCTGGTGTCGACAGCATTGGTATTTAGTACGGAAAATAAGATCGACGGAAAACAAATCGTGGAAAAAAATAGGTAATGCTGTTAATTACTGTTTATTACAAAAATGGTGACACAAATTGACACAGCTGGTGCCATTTGAACCGAATGACGGTGAATCCTGCGAAGTGTTCAGTCATCACCTTTACTCGAAAGAAAGAACCAGTTATTTTCCACTATGCTCGTCGGCACACCATTATCGAACGTATGAGTCATGTAAAAGATATAGGCATAGAGGTAAATAGGTGTCATCCTGGACTCTCAACTTGCATACAAGCAACACATCTCGTACGTCGTAGAGTTTTTTATATAGTTTATTGAAATATTGCTTGCAATGGATAAATATCACTAAAACTAGAAGATTCTGGGCATTTTGCAATTGATCTGAATGCAGATATAGCTAGCTATCACTTTTTTTTTTTAAATTGGGTGCGCTAGTAAAAAGTGAGCTTTTGCGACGCAACTGTATGTAGTATATAAGAATTAATTTGGGAATGTGATCTGAATTAGACCGAAATTTGAAAAATGGTAATTCGATACTTATCAAACAAAATCTGCTGGTCTTAAAAAGGTAACGAGCAGCAAACAAAAGAAGGACAAATAAAACTAGCGCAAAGGCTAGCTCATGTAAAACCCTAAGCGTCATTTGAAATTAAAACATATATGTATGCTTGATAATTCATTTGCCAGCGAGTTGAGTACTGTTCAAATAATCATTTCAAAAGAAGGTCCATACTCACTTAACAATTCTTACCGATTTCGGTAATATTTTACCGAACTTTCAACGGCTGAACGTTCGGTAAGACTTTGATCCTCTTTTTAAAAGCTGTTTTAATTTACTTTTAATTTTAAAACACTGTCAGCCTTGTTTAAATATTCGAGTCTTGTTATTGTGTCATCAGTTTTCCTTGAATTAAAATGCCTGCTTTTTACCGAACTGTTCAGCTGTTGAAAGTTCGGTAAAAATTACCAAAGTCGGTAATCATTTTTAAGCGTGTAGAACTTTTTTTTTTCATAGAAAATTATCAGAAGAATGAGGAACTTATAAAATAAGGGAAAATATAGTATTTTTTCCTTTGATTTGTTTTCCGTGCTGAGCACCAATGCTCCCTTACCTAGACCCTACTTATCAACCCATCAACTAATGAACCGGTGACCAACGGCTTTACTTCCCTTCCGAAGGAAGCCGTGATTAGAGATGTTATGCCTCAGAACATCCCGGCGGCGCCGATTGGGATTGAACCCAGGCCTGCTGGAGTGAGAGGTTATCACGCTTACCACTACACCACCGGCGCCGCTAAGGAAAATATAGTTATTGCTCTTTTTATTTATAGTGCCAAATCACGAGAACAGTAAAACTTGAGCTAGCCACATTTGTTCTTGTTTTTTTTTTTCTAAAAAATGTAATTTATGAACAGAACTATTTTTTTTTCAGATGACTTTGATTCAATGTAGAACATTGATATTACTATTTTTTTGCAATGTAGGTACCCTTAATACAATAAAGACGCAAATTCTAAAAAACTAATTTTGACATCCTGTCTTTTCGACCTTTTGTCATAGATTCGTTAGTACATCCACGAGTGAATCATTCAACTATTACGTGAAAAATGAGAGGAAAAGTTGTAGAAAACTACATGGTGTAAAGTACAGGGCTGATAGCAGTGTTAAGCAATAACAATAGTGAATTAGTAACTAAAATCATTTAAAAAAGTGACCAAAATCATTTTAAAAAGTTACCAAAATGTGACTTAAACATTATCGGAAAACTTTCAGAAATAGAATCATGCTAATTGATTTGTCAGTCATCCAAAAAAGGTAGGCATCGATTTCTTATCTGTACGCATTCGTCAAAAGTTTATATAGCAAGATTTTTTTTTCTTTGATTTGTTTTCCGTCGATCTTGTTTTCCGTGCTGGGCACCAATGCTACCGACGCCAGGAAGGCAGCTCCCACACCTGGACCCTACCTATCGATTCGACCCATCAACTCATGAACCGGGGACCAACGGCTTTACTTCCCTTCCAGAGGAAGACGTGATCAGAGAGGTTATGCCTCAGAACATCCCGGCGGCGCCGACTGGGATTGAACCCAGGCCTGCTGGGGTGAGAGGTAATCACGCCTACCACTACACCACCGGCACCACTATATTGCAAGATCTTGCACAACTAGATTAAAAACTAACAACACTGTGTAACACGACTTTCAATAACAGGGATATTTTACCATATTTGAAATTCATATGGTCGCCTAAAATAAAGTCTAGAATAAATCTATTATCTAACACGTCTCGCTTTTTAGATATGAACTATGTTGATCTTTATGCGATCTGCGAACTTTCATCACGTTTGCTTAGTTACCTAATAAGAATACATTGCCTAATTATTAGAACTATTTCCGAAATGAGGAATGAAACGTCGAGATAGCGTTTTAAATATTAAATGATATAGATATCCAGATCTAAATTTTGAATTACTGAAAAAAGCATAATTCTTCTACAACATGAGTTGCTATTCATTCTACTGGGCCGAACATCTACTGGACCGAACAAAGCTGAATGAGTCATTAGGTCGACTTGGGAAAGCGACATTATAAAGGTTCCCTAGCAGCACACTTGTCATTTAACAGTTGTGGTTACTTGTATGCACCTTATTTCAGTCACAATCAAGTTGAAGCAACCTATTTTGATAGATGTGTGTTGCTTGGGTTAAACACGAGAAAATCCGGACTTGAAAATCTTGTTGGGGGCAGGGCGTCACAATATCAGCTTCAATCGACCAAATCGATGCGACGAAGAGACTGCTGGCTTTCTTTTTCTGTTAAAGTCGAACAGCTTCGCAGCATTCTAGAACCTCAGTCGGCGTGCACAAACAAATGTTCAATCGCTTGTCTCTCTTTCTCCCGTCGCTCCATTGGTCTTCCTTTCATGCTTCGGTGAAACGGATGAGCGAAAGAGCGCTCGACTTCGATAGTTTTCTCTTTCATGAAACACATCAACAGAGGTTTCATGACGTATATGACGGAAAATGAAATAACACATTTAAAGCATTTCTCACATGAAAACACGTGAAGATTACACGTAATATTTTTAATGTATCTTCCATCCATATATTTATCTAAAAAAAATGATCAAAAACGGGACATTTTAAACAAATTGAAAGAGCGGTGATAGAGTGTTCGTGAAAGGGGATTGAAAGCCATAATGAGGTTCGTTTAACTAGAAAATCGACGTTAGTTACATTGAAAGCGATGAGCAAAGCAACGACGAGAAGTTCCACAGCCAGCCTTTCCTTCTAAGCGTCCTGCTTTTTTATTTTCGTTTCTTGTTGATAGTCTAGCTAGGCGTTATAGAAATGAAGCGTCGAACACGTATGTATGAGAGAAAAAAAAACACGAGTTCATTTTAAAGCTTCGAAAATGTAGAGCCCTGGTTGGGGGTTAAAAATGCGTTTTATTTTTCATAGTTCAATGTAACAGCTGTATATTTGTAGGTATTATGCTTATTGTAAGACCATCTTTTCAGTCTTCCTTCTTACCCTAGACCATTGCTCGAACCATAAGCCATTGCCAATGCTATTGGCTGTAAAATTTCATTTCCGCTTGAAATCCTTCAGGTAAATTTCAGTTCCACCCTTTTTCTTCAGTATATGCTTCACAATTGACCATTATTCCTCAAGTGGCCTTAGTTCCGGAGAGTATTGGCCGGATTCATCTCCTTGGGAACCATTGTGACGCCATTTTCGCTGTACTACTGTTTGGTGGAATTTGAGTAGTGGCAGCTTGCCAAGTCCGGCCAGAATAGGCAATCCACCTCATAAAGCTCCAGAAAAGACAGTATTCTTTT